GGCAGGCTCAGCCCGGGCCCGGGGCCGGGGCTGTGGGGCTGCTTCCCTGCCCTTCGTAGGGTCCTGCTGGGGAAGGGCTTGCCCTGAGCACTGGCAAGAGCGCGCTGCAGCTTGTGCCACTGCTCTGATGGAAAGAATGCTTTTTCCTGGATTTAAGTGGTTTGCTGTAGTTTAAACCCTCTTTGGCAAAGTTGAAAAATTGTTATCGTTTCTTCTTTAAGGCAGCTTTTCAAATATTTGAACCCTGCTATCATGTCCCCCTCCCAGCTCCAGCTCCTTTTTCACCCAGCTAAACACGACTAGTTCTCCCAGCCTTTCCTCAGTGCCTTTATCATCTCTGCTTGCTCTGGGATCCTCTCCAGTTTGTCCACAGTCTGAATCTGCGGGGCCCAGAACTGAGTAGAGCGGCATGGTCCCCTCCTGTGTCTTGCCCGCTGCATCCCTGTGATGCGGGGTCCGAACCGGGTCTGTTATGCTGACTGTACGGTGTTACTGGCTGGTACTGCTGCTGTGATCCACCAGCCACCCACGGACCACCCCGCCTTAGCACCGCGGCTGCCTGGGCAGTCATCTTCCTGCTCTGTTAATTCATTTGCCTTTTTCTGCCTTGGTGTAGCATCTTGCTTTCATCTGCTGAAGTGCATTTTGTTGTCATACACTCAGTTCTCCAAGTTATCAAGGTCTTCCAGGTTTTGTCGTTTGTAAGCTTGATCAGCAAGTGCTTGCTTTTTTGCATTCAGGTCTTTAATAGAAGTGAATAGCACTGCACCCAAACAGGCCTCTGTGGCACCCCGCTTGAAACCCCCTGCCATTCTGACCTCGCTCCACTTATAGCTACTCTGTACTTGAAGTTACTCGGCCAACTACAAATCATTTCTGGATATGTTCTGCGCATCCCCACATGTTTCCAGTTTGTTTATGAGACCAGTGAGTGGGACAGAGAGACTGACTAGAGAGGGTGAGTTGGCAAGTTTCTACACACCTTGAACATAATAAAGGCAAGTAGGGGGCTCGTCTGCTTTGTGCAAGAGGACGGTGGATTCTGGGGCAAGATTTTTGAGGAAAAAAAATCCACCTTCCCAAATTTTTCATTGACATTTTCTCAAGTTAGCAACTTCAGCACACTTGAGTTGGTGGTTTGTGCTTTGAGATTTTCTGTGGGGTTTTTTTGCAGGTATTTTCCATGTATACTCCTGCTTCTTGTAAGCTTACAGCATTTAGGAAGTCATGCACACTCAGATGCACAATTTTCCTTTCAGGCAGGAGAGCCATGTGCACTAGCTAGACTGGTGTCTAATGGTGTAGTAGGTGGTACCACGGATCCTGAAGCCATTTCACCTGGTCTACAAGCCTAGAGGGAGTGGAGCAAGCAGTGACTGGATTAACCCTTGCCCACTGCTGCAGCAGCCTGTGAGGCTCTTGGTAGTCAGGATCCAGCCCAGGGGACCCAGTGAATGTGACATCCCTGCCATACACGGTCAATTCCAGAATACTCTTCCTTTACAAAAAATTTCCTCCTATATCCCATCAGTTAGTGGTCACTTCATGCTCTGTGGCAAGAAGCATTACATCTTATCTGTATTCTATTTAATGCAGCTGGGGGAGGGAGAGTGCCTAGTTTGTTCTGCTGTACTATACATTTTAAGACATCACACTTTTTTTTTTTTTTTTAAGAGGCAAACAGCTGAATGGACCAGGGCTGAGTTGATCTGGTTTAGTTTTCGCTTACTTCAGGGTAAGAGTGGGCAAACAAAGTTCCTGTGGAGCAGCTGATGCCAGGTAAGTCCGTGCCTGCTCGTACTTCATGGTTGATTTCTCATTTGTCCATACAGGTACGCTTACTTGTGACCTAGTACCTCTTTTTGGCTGACAAACCTGTCTGTGCTCCACATTACTTCCTGAACCCTGCCATCATGGCTGAGGGGGGAAATGGAAAACAGAAGCAGTGAAAAGGCTTCAGCTGCACCTTGCCTATGTGGACAACATTTCTGCATGTTTATGAAATTTTGGTGTTACAGGTACCTTCAGCTATTTCTTTTGTTCACTGTAATGAGGGACTAATACAAGGACTGGAAATGGTGCTTGCTGTAATGCTTTTTTGTTATAATTATTTTAATTTAATCAGATGGATTTGACAACGTTTACTGAGACAAGCAGCTGGGGCTTAGAAATATTTTGGTTGCTCTAAAATTTTACTTGTAATGGACTTAACTGCAAGGAGATTTTGACTGTTATACCTATGGGTACAATGTGAAGGTCAGTTCTATAGGTCAGGGGTTGTCAACTGGGGGTACACATACCCTTCAGGGTATTTGGAAAGGCCCTAGGGGTATGCATGAGTGGGCGGGGATGGAGCGCCACCACCCTGTGCCGCCACCTCCCAGAAGCAGGGCTGGGGCAGGGGCAAGGGCAGCAACGCCCCTCTGCCACATGCAGGGAGGGGGGAGCTCGCACGTGGCGGCTGCTGCCGTCATCCACTACCCCACACCGCTACCCACCACCCCACGCTGCCGCCATGTGCCACTTACCCATGGCCGATCGCACATGTGGCTTTGTGGGCTGCTGACGGGTGGCATGCGATTGCCTGGGTGCGAGGCCCATCAGCAGCCCGTGGAGACGCTTGTGCACCTGGCCGTGAGAAAGCAGGGGATGGTGGTGGCAGCGCAGGGTGGTGGGTGGTGGCAGCGGCTGCTGTATGAAAGCCTTTCCACCAGCTGCTGCCACCAGAAGGGGCACACTTCTTAAAAAAGGTTGAAAACCCCTGGTATAGGTTAATTATGTTCAATGTAAAGAAGCAAAAATGCTTACTTTTATTAGTTTTAATTGCTTTTTTAAAATCAACAAATGTCTCTTTCCTCCTGAATGATGGGAAACCATGCAGAGTGCTAGGCTTGCTTTTGCTACACCGTTAATTCTTTTGTACATGTCACTTCATCTCTTTTCTAAATGAGAGTAGTTCCAATCTTTTTAGTCTCTTCTGGTAAGAGAGTCTTTCCATACCTCTAGTAATAACATACTTCTTACTTCGGTAAGGCCTACTGAATCAGCACCAGAGAAAATAAAGAGTCAGAAATGCTCTACTGTAGAACTGAGGTATCTCAAAGGACGCCATGTTGCAGTACTAGCTAAAGGCCTTTTTGGAGCTTCCTTAGCGAGCGGTTTGTAAATCGCAACACAAGTCAGTAAGTGGTTTTGCAGCCTGAGGCTTGTGTTACAGAAAACAGCTGCACAGTTATCAATATTGGAAATTTGAATTCAGTGCCTTTATTTAGAACCATGGAAATTAAAGAGTATAACCAAATATATTAATTAATAGAAGAAATGCAGAAGTTAAATATGTTCTCACTAGGATTCCTCAGTGTCCACCTGGCAGATGGTAAGACCTAACTTCTTATCTGTTGCTGTAACATCTTAGCACAATTGTGTGATACTTTATAGGTACAGCTACATCTTTGTGTCAGTGATACAGTACTTTAAGTGATCATCTTAATCAGAATAAAAAAGTTTTACATAAGTTAACAGCTGCTTTCTAAATAACAGGTAGGTGGATACCTAAAGATACAGGTGGGCACTTCTGAAATGTCCCTTAGGACAGAAGTTGCACTGATTTTAATTTGTATGTATTTATTTTTCCTCCCAGCTCTCCTGTAAGGTAGGTTTCCATGACACGGGTAGGAAGCAGAGGCACAGGAAGAATGAAACAAAAATGGTATCATTGGTTCATAATAGTTTTGCTTTTTGTAAGTGTGGTAACTTTTTAGAACTACTAGGTTAGAGAAATCTGAGGGGGGGGGGATCACCTGTTAAATTATATTAAATAGACTAGACTGCCCTTGATGCTTTTTGTTTTTCACCCAGTAATTTTCTTTTCTATTGCCCTTTATTCTTTTTTCTCTTGCACCTTCTTTATTTTTGTACCATTTTTTCTCTCTCTCTCTCTCTCTCTCTCTCTCTCTCTTTTTCTGGTTCCTGTAATCCCATTACTAGTGCTGCTTATGCCTGACTCTTAATTTCTTTCCCTGCTTATCCCTTTTACAGTGTTCCCTCTCTCTCCTGCTACTATCGCTTTTTATTTCTTTCATTCTTGCATTTTACAGGTATTATTGCTATTTTTTAAATAAATTGTAAATACTTTAACAATTCACTATTGTGTCCTAGTTAATGGCTTGGTATGCCAAACAGAAACAAGCTACTATGAAAACTATTAATTGAACTTTAGAGATAAATATATATGCCACTACAAAATTATGTCCTTCATATAAGTAACTAGTTAAGGCTATTGCTGATCCTAGTAACTCACACAGAGATCAACAAAAGCTAAATGAGATGCCACGTTCAGACCACATTCTTGCACACCTGTGAGATGCTGCTGAGCTTTGAAGATGTACAACTGTATGTTAAGTACAGTTTGACACACTGTTTCCCCAGCGAGACATTGTCTTTTGAGCAGTATTTTAATTGGTTGTGACAGAAGTTACAGCACTGGATCCTCAAATATCCCCAAGTTCCTGCCCAGTAACATGAGGCTGGGGAGGAGGCAGAGGTGATTCAGAGTAATTTTTCTGTGTCCCCAGTCATGAGGCTAATTGTATTGAGCCAGCTCCTGGTGCAAGTTAGAACAGTGAAAAGCTGGACTAAGTGCTTCTGCCTCGCCACTGGCTTACAAAAGACAGGGTGCCGCACTGTGCAGTCCAGCCATAATGCTCGCTTACCCTGTCCTTCCCTCTACACAGAGCCATGTATGCCAGCACCACATGAGGTGGGTATTATCCTTGGGCTGGGGTTTTCCAGCTGCCTGGTAGCAGCACAGTAGGACCTAAGTTTTACTGTAGCACCCAGTCTACAGTCTCAGCACAGGCTGCTGTTCAGTGCAGATTTACAAAAGTGGTGGTTTGCAGTAGTGACATACGTGGGATTTTGGAGTCCCCAGAGCCTGGGGATCTGTGTGCTGGGGATTGTGCACTGACTGATTTATGTGAACTAGGGGGTTGGGGGCACTGTAGGCCTGTTTCAGGGGTGCAGAAGTGGCATTTATTAAGTGACCAAGTGAATGTTTTGGTAGATGGAGGTCCCTTTTGTCTGACTTCCCAGTCTGCGTTCTTGCTTGGCTTTCCTACCTAACTTTGGGAATCCCTGGGGTAGCAAACCAATCAATTAAACGTTTGGTCTTTAAAGTGGAAGTATATTTAGCAAAACTTTGCTTAGGGGATTCCTATCTCATGTACATTTGTTACTTCTAAGCTATATAACATTAGGTGATATTGACGGTTCTGTTAAACCTTTCTCACAGACTTACACGGAGTTTGCTGCCCTGATTTTTTAATCTGAGTGATCCTTTCCAGCGAGCCTCTGGGTGCGCTGCCTGTATAGGTGAGCCTAACAGCTTCAGCCCTGAGACTGGGTGACATAGCTCTCATTGAACTCTTGCTCATGGACCTTCACCAGGCTGCTGTGTTGGGTCTCAGGCCATTGATTTTGGGGAGCATGAAGTCTCTGGAATCCAAATAGTCCTGGCATCACCCTTAGCTCAGGGTCTCTAGGCATTTCACAGGGTGTACATCCTCTTTCTAGCTTCCCCTGTTTGAGAGCTGGAACCCAGTGATGATCCTTTAGAGAAGTGGCTCTCAACTTTTCTGGACTTGAGGTACCCTTTGTTTGATTTGAGGAAACTGTCTGTAACTTGTGCGTGAGCCAGCACCCTCTTTTAAGAACTAGTACAGGGGTTGTCAACCGGGGGTACGCGTACCCCTGGGGGTACTTTGAAAGGTCCCAGGGGGCATGTTGGGGCAGGCAGGGATGAAGCGCTTCCACCCCCCGCTGCTGCCTCGCAGGAGCAGGGCCAGAGTGAAAGCAGGGCTGCACAGACTCCCCTGCTTGCCACCCCCTTCCCTGGGGTACACTTATTAAAAAGGGGACCTCCAGGGGTTGAGAATCCCTGAGCTCTTATATTTATTCCAATGCTTACCTCCTTCCAGAAGGGCTGGGCTGTGGGGGCAGGGGAGCAGTCAGGCAGGGAGAAGCCTGCATTTATCTCCTCATACCTTCTTATCTCCTCACACCTTGGGGCACCCTTCAGAAAAAATTTTGGAGCACCCCAGGGTAGTCTGCACCCTAATTAAGAATCACTGTCTTAGAATCTCCCGTGGCTTAAACATACCCTGTCCCACCTCCAGCTGTGTCGATGTTTCAGGGCTAAAGTTTAATTCTTCAGGAATATTAAGTGGGCACCCAGAGAGGCTTTGTGTACAGTTTCTGAAGGCATCATTACTCGTTGGTTAATACCACAAGAATTGCACAATTCCAGTCAAAATAATTAGACCTGCATACATTGCTCTTTGTTCCTCACATTGGAGCCTTTTTTGACTTAGGATCTAGTCAGGGAACGTCTGGAGGGACTGGATGTATTTAAATCACCAGGTCCTGACGATCTCCACCCCAGAGCGCTGAGGGGATTAGCAGAGGTCATTGCAGAAGCCCTGGCACAGCTTTACGAGCACTCGTGGTGCTCTGGTGTGGTGCCAGAGGACTGGAAAAGGGCCAATGTGATTCCCATTTTCAAAAAAGGGAGGAAGGAGGACCCAGGAAACTATAGGCCAGTTAGTCTCACCTCAACCCTGGGTAAGTTTTTTGAGAGAGTTATCCTGGCACATGTCCGCAAGGGGCTGGCAGGGGAGATTATGCTTAGGGGCAACCAACATGGGTTCATTAGAGGCAGGTCCTGTCCGACCAACCTGGTGGCCTTCTATGACCAGGTTACAAAATCCTTAGACGCAGGGGTAGCAGTGGACGTAGTCTTTCTGGACTTTAGGAAGGCCTTCGACACGGTCTCTCACCCCGTTCTCATTAAAAAAACTAGGAGACTGTGGTGTCGATGCCTACACAGTCATATGGGTCACTAACTGGCTGGAGGGCCGCACCCAGAGAGTGGTGGTGGACGGGTCTTATTCGACCTGGAGAGATGTGGGCAGTGGGGTCCCCCAGGGCTCGGTCCTTGGGCCTGCACTGTTCAATATCTTCA